TTCCATGTCCAAGCTCACAAATCTTTCCATTCACGAAAATCATTTTATTGGAGGAATCCCACCTTTCATTGGTAATATTTCCTCTTTGGTGACCTTATCCATGGCTGATTGTTACCTTGGAGGCAACATTCCAGATTCCTTAGGCCGATTGAGAAGCCTGCGTTTTCTTGGACTAGGAGGAAATAATCTTTTTGGTAAGATTCCCCTATCAATCTATAACCTTTCCATGCTTTCTGCTTTCTCCCTAGCTGATAATCAACTTGAAGGAAATCTTCCGAGGGATATAGGACTCGCCCTTCCTCATCTAACACACTTTCAAATATGGGGAAACCATTTTAGTGGGCAGGTGCCGGTAACATTGTCCAATGCTTCAAAACTTAAAACCGTAGAAGTGTCAGAAAATAGCTTCTCTGGAAAAGTAACAGTTCCCTTTGGGCACCTACAATATCTTCAAAAGCTGGCTTTGTCTGAAAATCATCTAGGAAGTGGAGAAGCCGATGAAATGAATTTTATCACTTCTTTGGCCAACTGTAGCAAGTTGGAATATTTGGTACTTGATGTGAATCAGTTTCAAGGAAGATTGCCAGAATCTATAGCCAATCTCTCAAGTCAACTAAAGATCATTCTCTTTGGATGGAATAACCTCTTTGGAGACATCCCTTCAGGGCTAGGGAATCTCGTCAACTTAGAATTATTGAGGTTGAATACCAATCAATTCACAGGTAAAATTCCGAAGGAAATAGGTCACCTTAAACAATTACATTATCTAGATCTCAGCATGAATAAATTTTTAGGAGAAATTCCAAATTCTTTAGGAAACTTAACACTGTTGACTAAGCTTTTTATGATTTATAACATGTTGAATGGAAGTATACCTTCAAGCCTAGGGAACTGCCAACATTTGGTTTTGTTGAGTCTTAGTCAAAATGACCTTAGCGGCTCCATACCAAAAGAAATTTTTAGCATTTCTACTCTGAGTATTAGACTAGATCTTTCTAATAATCAGTTGATTGGATCACTACCTTCAGAAGTTGGTAAACTAAGAAACTTAGGTAGGCTAGATGTATCTGGCAACAGGTTGTCTGGAGAAATCCCAAGTAGCCTAAGTGATTGCGTCAGTCTAGAGACCCTTTACCTGGATAGAAACCATTTTCAAGGTAGCATTCCTCAATCTTTAAGCTCTTTAAGAGGAATTCGAAAATTTGGTCTTTCCTTCAATAACTTATCTGGCAAGATCCCTCAATACATAGAAAATCTCGCATTGGAGTATTTGAATTTGTCTTTCAATGACTTTGAAGGAGAGATTCCAACAAAAGGTGTCTTTAAAAATGCAAGTGCAGTGTTTGTTCAAGGAAATACAAAACTTTGTGGGGGAATTGTTGAACTTGGCCTGCCTACATGTCGCATCAAAGCAACAAAGAAAAGAGAACTGTCACATGTGCATATAATAACTATAGTTATCTCACTTCTGGGAGTGATCATTGTATCTACCTTCCTACTTTGTTGGACTAAAAGAAAAAAAAGAAAGCAGTCTTCTGGATTCTCCTTGGAAGAGCCTTTTACGCAACTTTCTTACCGAAGCCTCCTTAAAGCGACAAATGGCTTTTCTTCAGCAAATTTGATCGGCAAGGGGAGTTTTGGTTCTGTCTATAAAGGAGTTCTCGAAGAAGATGGAACTAATGTTGCAGTCAAAGTACTTGATCTCCAGCATCGAGGAGCTTCCAAGAGTTTCATGGCAGAGTGTGAAGTCTTGAAGAACATTCGTCATCGAAACCTGGTAAAGATAATAACTTCCTGCTCAAGCATCGATTTTCAGGAAAACAATTTCAAGGCTCTAGTTTATGAGTTTATGCCTAATGGAAGCCTCGAGAACTGGCTGCATTCATCAGCTAAGGAAACAAATGATGGCCAAAGCAGAGTCCAGAGTCTAAGCTTGTTACAGAGGATAAACATTGCTATTGATGTTGCCTCTGCTCTTGACCATCTTCATTACAATTGCTCAAAGCCAATGGTTCATTGTGATTTAAAGCCAAGCAACGTTCTTCTAGACAATGACATGACTGCTCATGTTGGGGATTTTGGGCTCGCAAAGCTTATTTCAGAATCCAAAATACCAAACCAAAGTAGCTCAATTGGAGTGAGGGGAACAATTGGATACATTGCTCCAGGTATCTTAAGATTATAATGCCTTACAACTTTAGTTCTTTTATTGCATGCATCCACTTAGCATTAATTTTTTATTTTTTCTTTGCTAGAATTTAATCTTTTGGGTGTAAATTTGTAAATGGCAGAGTATGGCATGGGAAGTGAGGTTTCAATACATGGGGATCTATACAGTTATGGAATCCTTGTGTTGGAGATGATTACAGGAAAGAGACCCACAGATAGTCTCTTCGAAGAAGGTCTTAACCTTCATACCTATGCTAGAATGGCCTTGCCAGATCAAATTACAGAGATTGTAGACCCAAAGCTCGTACAAGAAGCTGAAGTATCCATTGTTAATAGACAGAGGTCACGAATTGACATCATAATGGATTGTCTAGCCTCAATAATCAAGATTGGTGTGGCATGTTCCATGGAGTTGCCTCAAGATCGTATGCTCATGAGTACTGTTGTCAAGGATCTAGATCTTATCAAGAAGACTCTTGAACGTAACCAAGCAAACAACTAGCATTGCTTCAAGTTGCACGTCCGTATCACTTCCAAACCTTTTTAGCTATGAATCTAAGTAGAAAGTGTATTGCTGTGTACTCAATAGGTGTGAAGCTTTACTAGTGTGGTTGTAATTTTCTGCTTTTTTTGGCTTTTTTTCTATGCACTCTTTTGTTTCCGTTTCCTTTCTTCGTTTTGAACTGTGTTGACCTTTCCTTGTATCGTAGAAATGTTGTTTGGTCATGCAAGCTTGTAATTTCTCCATTTTTATCTTTGTTTGAAGATGAGTCATGACATTCTGGTTTTCAAAATAAAAATGTTGGATCTGAGACATGTATATCTATGATTTCTGAAAAGGCAATATCAGGTAGAAACCAAATCTCATAAACACTGTTTCTATAATGAGTCAATTAGACACCAAATTCCAAGGGAGCCACCTCCCAATTAGAAATACAACAGTAGAAGCCTAGAAGTCCTTTCTTCTAGTTGAAAAATGCAAAATTCACTACTTTTTTGCACCTTCCAAGTCAATGTCAAGCACTGAGAAGAAGCATTCAATCATTTAGACCCAAAATTGAGCTCCAGAATTTGAAAAACTTGATTCGCATCAACAAGAATAAACAAATTTGTTATGTTAAGCAACTCAAAATAGGATGGGACAAGAAATGGTTTGAAATCAGAAAACAGTTTCTCCTGCCAAACATAACAAGCCACTAATTGGAAGTCTTTTTTTTTTTTTTTTAAATCCTTCGAGGCCATTGCTAAATCTGATATTTTTGCTGCTTTCTTGTCCAGGTTAAGAATAATACCTAAAACAAGCCATATTAATATTCCAAACACTTTTACTTTAGAACTAATAGGATATCAATATTTTTTTGTTCATCCATAAAATTAATAGTTATAGATAGCTTACAACTGAACATTATAGTTATGAGACTTCAATCTGATTTCATTTATAAAAGTTAGAATCTTCAATCTCTCCTCTTTCTTCCTCCTTCTGATCTCCCCTTCATTCCTCGCTCTCTTAGGTGTTTGGCTACCCCAAAATGCCAAATGATTTTTCTTGATTTTTCTTCTTGTTGGGAAGAACATGATGTCACCTGAATATAGCAAAAATAAAAACAACACCAAAATCTTTCCCAATCTATCTGAAATTGTTAGGAGCATCTAAATCTAGTTTAAATAAAATATGATAGAAACTAAAATATGCAAAATATCAAATAAGGCAAAGGCAAAACAATCATTACAAGAAACTCAAGATTTTTAAATGAAAGGCGCCAAAAAATGATAAAAACCACAGGATGATCAGTTTACTAAAAAATAACTCTACTATAATCAAGGAGAGTACATAATTTCCTCTTCTAAAAAGGTACAAGATCCAAATCAAATAAGGGGAATAACAGGTCACAAAGTGAGAAAGAAAATGAGAGTAACAAGATACAAAACACAAAAAATAAGCTACTGTTTTGAACATAAAATTAGAAGTTACAAAACTACAAACAAAAAACTAACCATTCAACATGTATATTGATATCTCATGAACACCCAAACAAAATTTCAACTCAATCCAACAATGAACTTTTGCAGATTAGATAAAATGGTAAAACTGCACACCATACCAAAACTATAGAAATTTTTCCTATTTTCTTTCCCCTGTTTTCTTGTCCCTTTTCTCCGGGTGGCTCCATTTTTACGTGCTGTCCACTATCTGCATCATTCCAAATCAGACCCCATTCTTTATATGTCCAATGGGCTGCAAAAAATACATGGGGATTTATAGAGTTACGGGATATTACTGTTGGAGATGATGACAGGAAAGAGACCACTGACAATCTCTTTGAAGGAGGTCTTAACCTTCATAACTATGCTAGAATGACCTTGCAAGATCAGATTATGGAGATTGTAGACACCCTACTCCTACAAGAAGATGAAGCAACCATTGTTAACAGGCAGAATGTTGGAGCTGTGGTGTCAAAGCTGCACAAGAGGCAGCAAATGGAAAGAAAGCTGCACAGGTGGCAGCAAAATGAAAAAAGGATGAGTTCTCACCTCACGTTAAGAGGGAACTCCACTGGTTCTTCTCCCTTTCTCCTCCAAGTCCCTTCCTTTTCTCAAAATATCCTCAACATGGTATTAGAGCTTCAATGATCTTGAGGGACCTCTAAGTGTGAGTTTGAGTGAACACAAAAAAAAAAAAAAAAAAAAACCACCTGTCTTTGTTTTT